GTCCAACCGCCGCGCTGGCAAACCAAGAACGTTTCCCGTGCCACCTGCAAACGGTTCCACGCCATGTCGTTCATGAGATTCAAGAGGCTTTCGTGAATCCCTGGCTCAAGCTTCTGGTTGGCGAGGAGCTTCTCGGTGTGCAGCACCGCTGCCCAAGTGCGGCGCTGTTCCTGCAGCGACTCGTTGGCGACAGCACTGTTTGCATGCAAGGCAGCCACGAGGGTGTTGGGTACACAGGTAGCAAATTGGATCTGAGACCATACTCTGGCCGACGCAATTTCGGTCAACAGAGACCAGAAATCATCCAGTTTGCGCCGCTCCGAGCAGAACCACTGCGTTGCAGCCCTTGGATCATCATCCGTCACGACGGGTGCTGATGGAGAGATTGTCGTGCCAAACCGTCGCAACGCCCGGGGGTCGTGGATCAGGTTCAGGGTTTTCATGACCGTCTTGTACCATGAACCCGTTGCACGCCGGGTCTGGAACTCCAAGGCAGACTCCTAGATAAGGATTATAGTCAGGGTTCTGTGTTACTGTTTAGGGGTGTAGGGTAGGCTCGACCATGCCCTAATTTTTAACCATTGCCAAGCACTATTACCCAAGTTTCCCTTTAACTTAATTTAATCCTCATAAGTTAGTTAGGACCTGGGGTGTACCATGGTGTACCGAGCAATCTTGAAACAACAGCAGCTAGACTGACTGACTCTACATCGGTAGCATTGATTCATTCAGCCGCCTGTGCTAGAGTTATGCCTTATGCTGGGGGATTTCGTGGGTTTAATTTCTCCCTTCAATGCAGAACTCTCCTATGTCAGTAACTAGTAGTGCCCAGCTCTGAACTCCGTGTAACAGTATGGTAAGACTAACTATGCATGATCCCTTGAGTTGTCATGTCGAGTCTAGGTCTTAGGATGAAAAAGAGAAGGCACATTATCACAGTCCGAGCGAAGCGGTCCTGGGTCTTTTGGTCCAACAAAGTTTGCTGGTATTCGGCCATCGTAGGCCGACTGGCAGTGCTCACCAACAACAGGTCATCCCGCAAGGACCTGTCCCTGTAGAAATGTGCACAGAGTTGCTGAGTGTTACCCAGGCTCTCACGGATTTTGTTCAGCTCTTGCTTACTCTGCGGCCGATTCCCTGGCTCGCCCTCCGCCGGAACCTCATCAAGTCCCTGAGCACCTCCTGCCAGCAGGTCCGGTGCCACGCCGTCGTCATCATCCTCCTGGCAGCAGGTATGTGCAACCTAGCTACACTTCGCGGTTTAGTCGAGGCCTTTTTAAATCTAAAACCGATTAGGGAACGGGGGCCTGCCAGTGAGCGTTCTTTGCTGTTCTGTTTTTGGAAGGTAGGGGTATTGATTATGAGGATTGCGTGCTGCGCCTACTGCGGACTGCTGAGTCACATGGGTTATCTCAACTCGAGACTTTTGACATGACCATAGTGATAGTGCCGAGCCATGATAGTCTAATAGTTCTGAGGGGTCCCGAGTGAGTCAGCAACACTAATGGGTCTGCGGCCGGATCAGTGTGGCATGCGGGTGTTCCGGGATGATGGGCGGGGTTGGTGTGGTTGCTGAACTATCAGATATTGCATTATTTTTTTTTCTGAATTACTGTACCTACAGTTAGACTTACTACAACCAACTATGGATAATGTACCCCGTGAAGTTTAGTTCTGTCGAGGCTTAGGCTATCATACAAAGTATCAAGCAATGGAATCTTAGAGACCAACTCCACCACTCCGTGTCGCAAAACTCGAAAGCCCTACTGAGTACTACTACTACTGACTTACTAACTAACTAAGTCACCCGTTATTTTAAACTAAACTTAAACCCTAACCCTAAACC